CTGAGGCAGGAGGATTACTGTGAGTTCCAGGCCAGCCTGGGCTACATAGTGAGTTCAAGGCCAGACTGAACTGCGCAGTGAAACGCTGTCTCAAAAAGACAAAAAAAAAAAAAAAAACAAGGGCTGTTCTTGGAGGAGCGAGTCACTTCAGATACACACTTCGGGCCCTTCCCTAATCCAGTTCTGCAGGGCCACTCTGGCATTAGAGCCTGCTACTGAGGCAGCTCAGCACTTTCTCCCATCATACTGCGTCTGCGCAGAATGCTCCCTTCCAGTCCTCCACCCCGGAAAGGCCTGCAGGACTGGTCCTGTAGCCTGAACTGGAGCAGAAACCTCTAGATGACTCCTGGACAGGCCACCAAAACAAAGGGCTGCGTGCACAGCGGAGGATCCTCGCAGATGTCCGGTGCTGAAACTGATGAAAGGAATCTGGCTTCTCCTGTGCTTTTGTTTCTGGTCTCAACCCCAGCTTGCTGTGCAGCCTCAGCAACCCTCCCCTCCTTCAGCCTGTTTCCCTACATGCACCGTGATGGGACATCTGGGGTTTCCTGCCGCTTGGCTTCAGTCTGATATCTGTAAATATCCAGCGGGGTGCTCACTAGATCTGTGCTATTCAGAATGCAGTCCACCGGCCAGAGGCAACACCTCTTCCAGGGACATGTCAGCAACACAGACTCGCAAGGATCTGCTCCGTGCTCAGATCTCTGAGTCAGAATCTGCATTTTAACAAGAGTTCTGGGTTTAGTCCAATGCACTTCACAGTGTGCGGAGCGCTGTTCTGCAAGAAATCTAGAAGACCTTTCGCTTTCTAGGGTTCTACACAACTTCAACAGGCCTGAGGGGAGGGCGGGCTTCACTCCGGGGTGAGAGGATCTGCTTCTCCCCAGCAGAGCACTGTCCGCATTAATGTCCAGTAAGCAGGTAGCTCAGGTCCAGGCAGCTGTCACAACTCCTGTGGAATTTCTAGCCATGGTCGGTCATTTATTTATTTATTTATTTATTTAGTCTTTTTGAGACAGGGTCTCGCTATGCAGTTCAGGCTGGCCTTGAGCTCACTTTGTAGCCAATGCTGGTCTCAAACTCACAATGATCCTCCTGCCTCAGCCTCCCACATGCTGGGATTACAGTCATGCACCACCACACTGGGGCAGTCAGAGTAATTTTTAAATAACAATACAAATGTCAGTAAGTATGATGCAAGGACCCAGGACTCTCTCACTGTTAGAAGCTCTCTTTTTCCACTCCCTATCCCCCGCAAAAAAATACTACAAGTTTATCCACCCAGAGCAGTGCTGGGACAGCCCTTTCTGAGCTCATTCTGGAAATGGTTCCGAGCGCCTGTCTAGGGGCAACAGGTAATGAGAGAGGCCTGGAGCAGAGGAAAGCACAAGGTTTAGTGCACCCTAAGCTCTGGAACCTGGCAACACTAAGGCTCTAACTCCAAGGTCACACAGAAGGCCTAGCCCAGAGGCCTGCACCTTGTTTTGTTAAAACTGACTAAAAGCTGGGCACAGTGGAACATACTGCAATCCCAGCTACCTGGGAAATTTAGCCAGACCTTATCTCAAAATAAAATTTATAAAAGGCTCTGTGGTAGAGTGCTTGCCTAGTGTGCATGAGGCCCTGGATTCACCTGGGTTCATTCTCCAGAACTGAAAAAAAAATTTTAATGGATTTAAAACAACAACAAAAAAAACTAACAGACTTTCTTTTTTTAGGTAGGGTTTCACTAAGTAGTTCAGGCTGGCCTTGAATTCACTATGTAGCCCAGGCCAGACTCTCCTCAAGCTCACAGCAATCCTCCTGCCTCAGCCTCCCTAGTGCTGGGAATATAGATGTGACCATCATGCCCAGCCTTACAGACTTTTAAAACTGTAAAATACAGAGTGGACATATGACAATTGAGTCTGAGGCGGGAGTGGCCACCAGAGATTCCTGAGATGACAGGGACAGGCGAATGGCTTAAAGGACCAGCAGCTAAGTGGCAAATCAGAACCAAAACATGAAATGCAAGATCAAGAACGCAAGGAACGAACAAGAGGATCCAAGGTGTGAGGTGAGTGAGTGAAAACCAAGGGGAATAGCCAAAAGGGGAGAACAAGCCAGCAAGAGGGCGACGCACCACCTCTCGGGCCCTCCACGCCAAGCTCCGGGGCTGTGTCCAGCTCTGTCTGCCCCGCAGCCCCCGACACAGTGCAGGTCCTTCAGGTCAAAGGCCGCCTCTCTCACGAAGGCCTCCCCGACTCCCACGGCTGGCGCGCAGCTCCCTGTCGTGCTCTCTCTTGGCTTACTCCGTCACTGCTCTGCCTGCTCTGCCTGCTCCTTTCCTGGGTCCCCTGGCAGATACATGCTGTGTCCTCGCACTCCCGCCGCCTGGGTGGGGACGCGATGGCTGACGGCACGGCTGAGGTCTTGGATCCTGGGTGACTGCCACAGCTTAGGGAGGATGGACAGCAGGAAGCACCTGGGACTGTGGGGGTCACAAATGCCACCCCAGCACCGTCTCTACACTCTTAGGTGAGACTACCTATCTGCAGCTCTTTAGGTGAGAAAAATTTTGTCTTAAATCGATTATTTTGGCTCTCTGTTACTTGCAGACAACCCCTGGGATCATTTCTGACTCCTTTACTACCTCTCCCTGAAACTAATCACCAAATAGTTTTGCTCCTACCTCCTCGATATGTCCTACGTCTATAAACTCATCCATCACTGCTGCCTCTACCTGAACTCAGGCAAACAGACTTTCCTGCCTGGGTTACCGCTGTCAGCCTTTTTCCCACCTGGTCTCCCTACTTCTATGACTGCCTTTTCCAATCCACTTTTCCTACCAAATATGGAGACACAGATGCTTGCAGACATATATACAGAAAGTATAAGTATGGTATAACAAATACCCACAAATGGTCACAAATATTAATCCCACCTATTATTTTCTTTTTTAAATACTGAGAAATGTATCCAGGGCCTTTGCACTGAGCTAAATCCTCGTGCCTTTATATCTTTTATTTTGAGACAGGATCTCACTCAATCGTGCAGGCAGGTTGTGATCCTCCTGACTCATCCTACCAAGTACTTGGATTATAGGCATGAGCCACAACATCCAGCTATTTCTTCAAATATTTATATATATATGTGTGAATAACTGTATCATATGGCTTTTGTATTTTAAATATTTATCTACCAGGCATGGGGATGGGGCCTCTCCTGTTAGCCCAGCTACCTCAGAGGCTGAGGTAAGAGGATTGCAAGTTCAAGGCCTGGGCAACTTTGTGAGACCTGTCTCAAAATTTTAAAAATGTTTTTCTTTGTTTTTCTTCCAGAATAAAATTTAAAAGAGCTGGGGATGTATCTCAGGTGTACAGCGCTTGCCTAGCATGTGTTGAGGCTTTAGGTTTAATCCCCAGCACTGCAAAAAAAAATTTTTTTGAACATAAATAGTGACAATTTTATGTATACTTCTGCAACTTGTTTTTTTTTGTTTTTGAAGTTCATCCACGTTAACATCTATTATTCGTGTGAATAGCTCTATAATGCTCCATCATGCAACTATATAACAGCATGTACATCTCCCCTGTCGATAGGTACCTACTTGCTTCTATAACCAGTGCTTCCTTGACACACTTATAAATGCGCAAGGTCTTGAGAGTTCATGTCAGCAAGTATAGTTGTTGGGTTGGGGGATCATAGTTGCTATGGCTGAAATGTGTCCCTGCCAAGATAAATGTTCAAGTTCTAGTTCAGGGTATCTGTTCGTGTGACTTATTTGGAAACAGAATTTGCAGATGGAATCAAGTTAAAACGAAGCCATTCGGATTCAGTCCTACTCGCTATGACTGGTGTCATACGGAAGACAGAGGAACAGAGATTAGAGTGATGCATCTACAAGCAAACGCCATGGACTGCAGGCGAGTGCCAAAAGCCAGGAGGGGATCAAGCGCAAGATTTCCCGAGACCTCAGAAGGCATGAACCCTGCCAACACCTTTATTTTGAGACCTCTGGCCTCTAGCTCTGTGAAAGAATACAGTTATGCTGTTTTATTTTATTGTTTTGTGGAGCTGAGGATCAAATCCAGGGCCTTGCACATACTAGGCAAGTGCTTACCGTGAGCTGCTGCCTCTGTGACTTGTCCCGCAGCACAAGCAAGCCGTAACAGGGTGAATCTCAGTCACCCGCGCGGGGGCAGCAGTCAAGGCCTGAGGGCTGAGACTGTAAGTTGGGGCTGGAATAGAAAGATAAATTAAATTGCACAGAGTCACAGTTCTATTTAGGTTGTAGAGAAAAGTATCAGAAATAGCCCACGTTGAGAGTGGACTGGTTTGAGTTTCGGACTCTGTCTCAAATTCATTTGCTTTTTCCTTTAAAAACGATTCGTTCTCTTCCACACAGTCATGGGGATCTGCCATTGGCAAGTTTGTCATTAACGCCCACAGGTTATTTTGTGCTTACTAAATCAGGCCCCGTTTTTAGACATAATCTGCTAATCTCAGTTAATCTTCGTAACTGGCCCACAAAACACTCCTGCTGTCCTCTCTATAACAAGGATGAGGGAACCTTCGGGAGGGGCACGTGCCTTGCTCCGAGAAATTGGCTGATCGTTGAGAGCTGAAAGTTAAGCCCCCTGGCGTCTTAATGGCTCTTATAACACGGGGGGTGGGGTTTCACCTGTGTCAGCCTACATTTTCCCACCTTTCAAATCGTTATAGTAGTAGCCGCCTCTGCTGTCCCGCTCGACGAACGGAAAGCAGCGCGGCCTGCGCCCTCCGCTGCGGGTTCCCCGAAAGGCGGAGACAGACCGACCGCCGTCATCGTCTTCCGGGCGTCCTCGAGGCCCTGCCGCTCCGCCCCCGGCCGCCAGGGGACGCTGTGACGCGGCCAAGGGCCCGGCGCGCGGCCGCTCTAGCTTCGCCCAGAGAAGCCGCAGTCCCTGCCCGATTCGGCAGCGCGATCCCCGGCGTCTGCGGCCGCTTACCCTACTCACTGTTCTGCCGCTACCCACTGCCCTCCTGTCGCCCACCATGGCGCTGCTGCACTCCAGCCGCGTCCTCTCCGGGGTGGCCGCCGCCTTCCACCCAGGCCTTGCCGCTGCAGCCTCTGCCAGAGCCAGGTAAGCCAAGGGATACTGAGATGGAGCCAGGACGTCGGCCTGCCCGGCCGCGCTGTAGGTGCCCCGGACAACTGCTCCCACGGTCTCCCAGATACACGCACGCATACACACGCGCTGCCCTTCTGTGCCATCCCCTCGGGTTCCCTACCCAGGAAGCTAAGAATTGAGCGTCCACGCCGCACAGGGACTGACCCCAGAGCCCCACATCCCTACCCTCCCTGCATGTGGCGACGCGGGAGAACAAGCTAGTGCAAGCCGAAGCAAGGAAGTGTGACCCTCTGCGGCACCCGGACTCCCACTCCAGGGGCCCGGGATGCAGAGTCGGCGTGAAGGGGGTGCGGGGCGAGGGGAGAGCACGCGGGCTGCGGAGCCTGGCCAACCTCGCGCTGATTGGCTGCGGCGCCGGGGCGGCCTCGCGCCGATTGGCTGCGGCGCAAGGGGGCGCGCATGTCCTTGACTGGCTGGCCTGGGGGCACCGTGCACACCTGTCCCGGGCCCCCCAGCCCCAGAGGGTTGGGCTGGGCATGGCGGAGGGTGGCTGCTGCTTGTGTACCAGGGGACGGGAACGCCCTGGAGGGGGTGGTTCCCGGGGCGCCGGCCCGCCGACCCCCACTTTTCTCGTTGCATCCGGTGACCTTGGCAGCGACACGCTCCTGTCCGCCACCACCTGAATTCCCGGTAACTCCGCTTTGGCCGTTAGATGGGAGGCGGTTGAGGCGTAGTGCTGCTCCTTAGTTTTCAGGCCCTCAGAAGTCCTGCCACACGGGAGCCATCGATCTTCCTCTCCTCCTTGTTCTGTTCTTTCATGCCGAAACTTATTTCGTAACCCCAGGTTCTCGGTGCCAGGCACTGGACCACATGCTGGCGATGCAGCGGTGAGCGAGGCAGAGGGAAGGGCAGCCTTCGCCCAAACAGTGACAAATGTGTAATTTTCCAGACTGTGATATGTAGTCCAGAGGGAAAGTTGGAGCATCAAACGAGCTAGTAATTTCCTAGCAGAGACCGGAGCCAGGCGATTAACTCACTCAGGAAGCGGATTTGGGGCCGTCTCCTTAAGTACTGCCTAATGGGGTGCCCAGTCTTAAAACCACCCCGGGCTGATGTCACTACCAGGAGCAGAACCTAGCCTGGCCTTTCGTACCTCCCTTGGCCTTGCGTTTGAATGGATGCCTGCGGTCTGTAACCCCGAAGAACAGTCTGTCCTTCCCAAAGCCTCCTGCTTTCACATGTGCTTCTCCCAGTTTGGCTTTCTTGGCCCACAGGAAGCAAGTGCTCTTTAAGCCTACCTAGTAGGTCGGGGTTAGGCGTTATTCGGCACATTTGGAGAACAAAAGGAGTGCCAAAAGTATGGGCTATTTCAACATTATAGTAGTAATCTTAAAACAGTCCCTTTTGTTTTAGGAGTTTGGCTGTTGGTCTGAAGCTCTAACGTGCTTGGTGAAATTCCTGGGGGCGGGGGGTGACCTTTTGGTCACTCTCAGTTTGAGAGTCTAATATTTCTGTTCTTTTGCCCATTAGAATCAGTTACAGGAGAGCAGAGACCTCACCTGCTTTGTTCAGTTTTTATATCTCAGCACTTGTAACAGCACCTGGCATATCTTTCCAAAAAAGTCTTATTTTAAACCCTGATTTTTAAATAAAATACATTTTAATCTTACATTTTAAATGAAAATCTAAACAGGTGAGAAACAATAGCACAGCAAAAATATGACCAAAAGCTGGGCGTGGTGGTACACACCTGTAATCCCAGCACTCCAGAGGCTGAGGCTGGAGGATCGCTGAGTTCAAGGGCAACCTGCACTACATAGCAAGAGAAAAAAAAATATATATATATATATATACACATATACATATATAATCAATAAAACAAGGCTTTTAAATATTAGGAAAGCTGGGCATGGCAGCGCAAGTCTAATCCCAGCAATCCAGAGGCTGAGAGGCAGGTGAATCACCTTGAATTCAGAGGCAGCCTGGGCTTCCTGGTAGGTTCAAGACCAGCTTGAATTACATAGTGAGACCCTATCTCAAACTTTCCCCCCGCTCCAATTTTTTTTTTGTTTTTAATAGCTGACAGTGAGGAGCTGCTGTTGAGGTTTAAACAGTGCTCCAGGATTGGGTAATAGAACTAGATGCCAGGTCTGGCCATGAGTGTTAACTGTGCAGGCAAGAAAACCTTGTGCTCATCCACTGTGCATGCATCTTTATCTGGAGCCCAATGGTAAGACTAGGAAACATTTTTATCAACTCAGTGCATTCAAACTTTTTTTGTTTCATTTTGTTTTTTCTTTGTGGTACTGGGGATTGGGCCCAGGGCCTTTGCAGTGAGCTGTATCCCCAGCTCTTGTTATTTTTTATTTTGAGACAAGATCTTGGCTGAGTTGCCCAAGGTAACCTTGGACTTGCAATTCTGATGCCTCAGCCACCCAGGTATCTGAGATTGTAGCTTTGTGCCATCTTGCCCAGCTCCAATGAAATACTTAATTTTCACACTCAGATCATTTAACAAGAACTTTCTAAATTCAAGTTTTTTTTTTTTTAAACAGAAAGCGTTAAAGTTGTTTTGTTGACCTGTGCTCTAGAAGCACAGTGAAATTGATCATAGATCAATGAGGAATGAGAAATATGCTAATATATTTTTATTTGCATTGCTACCGAGCAAAACTAAGTCTTCGTGAATGCAAGGCAAAGCAATCACTCCATCACTGAGACAAAACTCTGCCTACTTTTCATTGTTTAATTCTGATTGTTTGATTTTTTGTAAAATAACCAGGTAGTATCATAAGACTTTTTAGAAAGGCAGTGTGCAGCCAGCTGGGTGTAGTGGTGTGTGCCTATAATCTCAGCACTTGAGAGGAAGAGGCAGAAAGTTTGCCATGAGTTCCAGACCAGCCTGGATTACGAGTCCAAGACCAGCCTGAACTGCATAGTGAGACCCTGTCTCAAAAACAGAACAATACAAAACAAACCCCAGTGTGCAATAGTGATACAATAATCAGTAATTAAAAGATCAAAATCGTGGTGTGGCATTTGTGACCATGGGCAAGTTAGTTAACTTTTCTGAAGATATGTGTGGAGTAAAGGAGAAAAGAAATAATTTAGAATTTAGGAAAAATATATACATACAAAATAATTAAGATAGTTATACTACTAATTTCTCTTAGTTCATTGAAAAGAAAAGTTTGTGCTAATACTGTTTGAACATTTAAATGCCTGTATCTTGTACACTGAGTAACTAAGTTAAAGGTAACAATACGCAATGCATTAACCATTGTTACCCTATTATCTTGTTTTGAAAATTTGTGGTGTTTTTTCTCTTTAAAATAAAAATAAAATAAAATAAGAATATGAGGAAAAGCATTTTTAAACTGTAGAAGAGTAGCTAGGCTTACAACCCCCAGAGATGCAAGGTATTTGAACTGGAAGTGTTTATCTGAATACTTTGTACCTAACATCTTTGGGTTGGCTGGTCAATATTGCTCAATGTTTGAGGCTTTGTGCTCATGTCCAAAGGACATTAATAGGAATCACTTTGTAGGCCACAGATTGTCTACATCATAGTTATCTACATCAATTTTATCCCTAGAATACTTCATCTAGAGCAATTCCTTTAAAAACACGAGGCCTTACAACCTATACAATCTTTGCCATTTTAAGGAGTGGAATAATGAAGGACATGGAGATCCTGGAACGTGATTCTAATGTAGAGCTAATCAAATTGACTTTCACAGCTCCTTTTTTGGTTGTTTAAAATTCAATATTTTGAAATTGCTTTTAGCATTGTTAATAGGTATACTAGAAAACTCAAAAGCTATGGTTTGTGAGAAAATGTCTATACAAAACTTTTTTTAAAAAATTTTGACAAATTACTGATTTTCATACTACAAGAATGGTGCCTTCTGTACCTATGGTTAGAGGCAGTGCTGTCACCAGAGCACTTAAAATCAGAGCATCTTTTGAAAAATGAAAATTGCTTTCTACAAGTTTCCCCTCTTACAATCAAAGATGTCCTTGACATTCAAAGTATTCCTTCCCCTCAGCAGTTAATAATGACAGTGATGCAGATAGGCAGGTGGCTCCATGTTTTCACTCTCTGTATTAAGGATAAGAAATAATCAAAACCGTCACTCCCATTTTCAAAGTCCTCTTGAGGTGTCTGTGTTTCTTACTATTGCTTAGAAGCTAGAAACAGCCAAGCAGCCTACAACACCAGTAAAAGGGAGGTGGGATCTTAGTCCTGATTTTAGAGCTGTCAAGGGATGGATGAGAATGTCTGCTGAGACTGCATGAAGAGGGAAAAAAACCTAAATAGTGGTAGTTTATTAGAGTCCTGTGACCACAAGCTTTTCACATTCCTCACATACTCCAGGCTCCAGACTAGTGGCACAAATAAAAATACAGTAGTGCTCTAGTAACAGCGATGCCCACTGACACCAAGCATTCACTCTGTGCCGAGCTTTGTTGCGATTTTCTTCATCCCTCTACCAACACTGTGAGATGGGTACCCTGGTGCTCTGTTTTACAGACAGGAGTCACTTCGCTTGCCAGTGCTCACACAGCTGAGAGGTGACTGAGTTATTGGAATCTATGCAGTTTGCTCAAGGCGAGCTATTGAGACCATTAAAAGCAGGAAACATCTGGAAAATCCCAAGAAACAGGGCCATCACTCTTATAGAACAGAGAATAACCATGCACACCACTTACAGCTTTTGAGACAGGCGATGTGCGCTTGCTGGGGAGCATAAATAAGCGCAGCTCCCTGCTGCCCTCCTGCCAGCTTCCTGGCTGTGGCGGATGAGTGCTCACCGGCACAAGTTCAATATGCGAACCATTGCTGGGGCAGAAATTCTAGTGAATAATTCACAAGCGTCTCAGCATGGTGAGCACCGAGAACTTTACTATGCTCTACTGAGAACTGGATTGGTAGAGATTAGATGAGTGATCACTAACAGAACTCGAGCCACTTCACCTGAGTAATTTGGAATCTTGCTTCCTTAGCTTCC